CGCCAAACTCCCATGTTTACAACTGATCGGCCATGGCGGCGGGGCATTTTTGGCGGGTTACTTCCGGTGAAACGCTGAGCGCTTCAAGGGCTAGCCTAATGGAGCCTCCTCTCTCTCTCTTCGCGGCGCCACGAGCAGTACGCCGCGGTGGGAAGCAAATATGGCCGCCGACTGTGGGCTAAATCACGAACTGTGGCGTTTCTTTTTATAGAATCTTATCGGGCTGGGGCCGCGTTGTGGGGGTGGGCGGGGTGGGGGAATGCACGCAAGGAAGAGGGGATGGGGCTGGGATGGAAGAGGAGGGGTGGGCCTTGGGAAGGGACGAAGGAGAATGGGGGAAATTAAATAAAAGACAGACAGACAGACAGACAGACAGACAGACAGACAGACAGACAGACAGACAGACAAAGAGAGAGAGATTGTGATCAACTGACGGGCTGACGGATAATGACAGGGAAAAAAATAAAATTCTGTGTGTGATACGGACTGTTCAATTCTTTAAGAGTTTTATGTTATAATCTAGTTTAAAAATCAAAAAGATGTGTAAAATAAGAAGAAAACTTGTCCGAGTAACATAAAATTATCAAACATACCAAATTATAAAGATAATCTTTCAAGATGCTAAAATATTTGATTATAAGAAATGGATAAAAATATACTTTTAAACTGAATTTAAGATATATGATTGCATGATTCTAGGCGTGTGCCATAACTAACTTTATGTGTAAGGAATAGTGGACACATAAGAGGGTCGGTGTTTGCTTTATCTAATTGCTAACAGTATGTCTTGGTCTATAAATAATATTATTGATCACAATAATTTTGTTTCCTGGTTTTCACAAAGTGGAGCGCACAATGATTTCAAATATTCACACACACACAAAAAAAGAGATAACAGCACCCTTGGAGGGGTGATCGCATGCATGAGCGTGGATAACCTTTGAAGGTTGTTTTTTTTTCAGTAAAGTATGATATGGAGAGCAGCGTTTTTAGTCCCTTATTACACTCCAGAGGGGGATAATTTATCATAGTGATGACTCTTGTGAGGTGAAATTTGTTGTTGCTTTGTTTGGTTTATTTTTTAACAGCAGAATCTTAAGTGAACCGGAATTATTGATTGTGGGATCTTAGGTGAAGACTACAACAATAGAATTAAACCGAGTATAGTTCTATCTAACAAGACTCAAAACTCTTATCCACCCCACCCTACCCTCTCCCCTCATCTGATATGGTTTGGTGTTTCGTTTACATAGAAAATATTCATCATTATTGTTGTTGAGTATTGATTTCATGTTCTAATGGAACCTCTAGATACAGGGGCGAAGGCTGACTTGTTTGACAGGGTAATCAAAGTGAAATGGGACCAGATAGGGCCTGGAGATATCATACTCACACAAGTCACAAGAATCTTACTGGCACTGGAGGCGGCAACTCTTGAGTTGTGAATGAAAACAAATCCTGAATTCATGTTGTATGCTTGTTCAACCGCTAAAACAATCGGGAAAGAATTTCATTAAATATTTATTCTAACTAACCTTAAATTTAACTTTAGATTTGAACACACGAACACCAAGGAAAGAAGCACAGATGTCAGCACTACAATGGCATGTTATACCAGACAGCCGAAACACTTTGGTAGAGCACGCCAATTATTATTTTTTTAAATTTCACATTTGGCTGTTTTTTTGTCTAGCTTTTCGCGGCCAGGAGCCGCTGTCATAATCGAGGTCACGATCTGATTATAGGACGTTAAAAAGTCGAGGAAAAAAACAAGCACTAGCAGTGTAGTCGGAGCACCGGGGAGTTAGTTCCCCTCACATCTGTGAGGTAGACTCGACCAGTGTAATAGTTCGCTTAGATAATCAGCGCGTCTGGGTGCTTATAACTGTGGCCCGAAAGGGGTGAACAGGGTATATGCGACAATGAAACAGTTCTGACTGCTATGCACATGTTCCCTTCAAATCTATTGGTTGACTCTTCAAGTCTCACTTTAAGCTTACTTAATCAAAGCTTCTGACTGCTTATGGAGTGGCCCGATAGGGGCGAACAGGCTATTTCTGTGGCAATGAAACGGTTTTGAAGGTTAGGCATAGTCTATTGTTCATTGGTGATTATGAACGTCTTTTTACATTTAATTTATGAGGTTTACGTCTATGGGTGAATTTGACTGCGACAATGTTTCAAAATTAGGAAGGGAAGCAGTGATTGTTTGATTATATAGACGCTTCGCCTCTGTCTAGATATCTACATTTAGACTACAGTAGCATCTAATTTGCACACACAAAGGAAGGCAATATCTTTAATTAAAATGTATAATATGTATATATATATATATATATATATATATATATATATATATATATAATATACATAATAATTATATATATTTATGAATAAGAATACTTTTTTAAAATTGAGTATCTCGGTCTGGGTGTTGTATCCCTTTCAGCCTGGGTTGGCCTTGGCATGTAGCTCCGGAGCCAGCCTCTTATGAATATTAATGATTTAATTTGTGTTGCTGGGGGCATAGAAACACTTTCATTCAATTTTTTAAAAAGGAAAACAACTTAACTGTGAAAACTTCGGTCCACTGCAGCATCATATCGGTTCTTACACTTAAATAGCCTACAACACAGGTGCAAGGAATTTTTACTAATTGACTTGCCTAATCTCAAGGACCTCGGAATAAAACCTTCTTTCTTATCTAGATTTCAGTGCCTGAGTCGGGCAATCGCGCAGCGCAGGTAGCCCACAGTTCCGCCGCGAGAGAGGGCTCCAATGAGGCGTGCGGTGCCGCCCACAGAGCATCTTCCATTACTTTTAATCTCCTTGGTCTGTATACACTTCGGATTTGAACAGTTTAAAAGCAAGTCGTCATTGATTTTTCTAAACGCAATATTATCTTTATTGAACGCATAATTTGGCAACATTTAGTGCAAGACAGTGTTCATTGTAAAATTAATTTCTTGTAACTGGTTTTGCCACTAAAAAGTGTCATAGGCTAGCTGTGACGACATATATGCGTACGCAAAATGTGTGTGTGAAGCTGGAAGTTATGCTGTGAACAATGTAATTCCATGTTCCGCATGAAGGAGAGTTCTAGTATTTTATATAATCTAATGAAGAAATTGGTTTAACATCCAGCCTCAGTTGTTTCAGCAAAATGTGATTAAGTTAAGACAAATTGGTACAAACTACTGTGCAAAGTATGTGTGACATTGATTTACCCGTTAAAGAGAGATTTTAGGATAAGCTGCGCCACGAATTTATGACCGCACATGGTACAATATATATAGGCTCTTGTCCCATCATTGATCTGGACTGGTTTCCCAGGTTAACAAAAAAAAAAACAACACTTTAAACTAAGGGGGGGGGGGAGGGAACGATGTGTGAGAGAGAGTGTGTGTATGTGTCCAGTATGTATATATGCACGCGCGCGCCTGGGAGAACATCGCGCACTTTCGAGAGAAAACTATCAAAGCCGCGCACTATCAGAGCCGCGCACTTTTTGCCGATTAGCAAAACAGTATAATCCAACAATTTTAGTACCCTCAACGTTTTACTGGGCTTGGGATCAGATATCACAGATTTTGTATAGAATAAATAGGGGTTTCAGGAACAAAATCATATCTACAGGGGCGGTCTTTAAATTATTGGGGCAGCATTTTCTTGCTCATTCAGGATAAACATTGAAGACTTGTCTATACATTCTTATGAGCGTCTCGGACTTGTCTATCTGCGTATATTTGCTTCTAACACATTCTCTCTTCTTTCATGCGGAAGTGCCTTTGTGTTTGGTTTGTGTTTTTAATTTCAGCTTAGAAATGGTCTGGAAGTCGTTTAACGACAGCAGAAAGACAATAATATATATTTGGATGGGGGCTGTAGGGGCCTACAGAGTAATTTTGTCAAGGGGGCTGTAACCGTTGGAGGCTACCTAGGTTGGAGAGAATCAGCAATCTAATTGTATCGATATCGTCCAAAAATGTGCGGCTCTGATAGCGCGGCTCTGATAGCGCGGCTTTGATAGTTCTTTCTCGAAAGTGCGCGGCTCTGATGGTTTCCCGCGCGCCCTGTGAGTGTGTGTGTGCGGGAGGGGGGGGGGGGGGGGGGTTACGTGGTGATACACCAAACAAATGTGCCAGGATCTTGACAATAAAAATGTAGGGGCTGAACATCTTATCTTATCTTATCTTATCTTTTCGCTCTCAGATTTGTTTGCAATCTTTTTGGATATAATTGAAGACAAAAACATTAAGATAGGTATATAGGTCTATTTGGGGCACATTGAAAGAGGCCTACAATGCTATGATCTATTAACGAAGCATTTCTTATTGTTATTAGCTCTGAAAACACTATTTATTTTCTAAGCATCAATTTTGAACTTTGAGCAGAAGTCATGAAAATACCGAAAATAGCTTTCCCCTGTCTATGTAGCCATTCTCCTCCTCCTCCTCCTCCTCCTCCTCCTCCTCCTCCTCCTCCTCCTCCTCCTCCTCCTTCTCCTTCTTGTTCTTCTTCCTCTTCTTCTTCTTCTTCTTCTTCTTCTTCTTCTTCTTCTTCTTCTTCTTCTTCTTCTTCTTCTTCTTCTTCTTCTTCTTCTTCTTCTTCTTCTTCTTCTTCTTCTTCTTCTTCTTCTTCTTCTTCTTCTTCTTCTTCTTCTTCTTCTTCTTCTTCTTCTTCTTCTTCTTCTCTGTCTCTTTCGCTCTCTGTCGCTCTCTTTGTGGGTGCATGTGAGTGTGTGTGTGTTTTTTGTGTGTGTGTGTTCGTAGAGATGTAGTGTGTGGGTGTCCGCGTGTGTTTTTATGCGTGTGTGTTTGTGTGTGTGTTTGTTTGTTTGTGTAGTGTGTGTCCATGTTTGTTTATGTGTGTGTGCATGACGTGTGCAGCGGGGTGAATGAAAACTGCGAGCACAATTTTTTACGCGGCCTCAAAAGAGAAATCTTTATTTTTAAAAGGCAAGAAATAGCCTACAACAAATTGCTACCTCTTCTCGCCATGAATGAAATAAAAGTACGCATAAACATTACACCAAAAAAATGGATAACGTCGAAGAGGCCACGCTATCTTTGTCTAAGCGGCAACGTTTGATTATGCTTGCAGACGTCTCAGGAGATGAGATGGTATGCATTGATTGTTCTGTTTTGGAACTCAGACTTCCGATAAACTGCTTTGGGAATATCTATTCAACTAGTCCAAGTGTTTGGTTAGATTAGAGGCCAGCTTTTTCGTAGGCAAAATCTATTTGTGGCGTCGGTGGCCTAGTGAAGTGGTTAGGCTCTCGGACTCGCAACCGTAAGGTCGTGGGTTCGAATCCCGTCAGGGGCCCGACGTTGTGTCATTGGTAAAGGCACTTTACACGAATTTTCCTCACTTCACCCAGGTGGGAATGGGTACCCGGATATAGACAGCGAAAGATCTTGTCAGTTTGCTAGTGTTTGAGCGCTTCGGCTGCTTGCACTGTACATAGACTGTATGCTTCTTGGGAAGCTGAGAATGTTTCGGAGTGTTCTATAGTATGGTCTGCTGGGGTAATATTAGTAATAATATAGATCTAGTGTAAAGCGCATAGAGCCTGCTGTTGAGCGGGGATATGCGCTATACAAATGCTATATCTCTATTATTATTATGAAAGTGGCTATTCTCACCCGCCGGAAGTTCTCGCAACTTGTCGCAAGATCAACTCCTCCCCTCTTCTCTCTCTCTCTGTCTCTTTTTGAATACTGTCTATCGGTGTGGACGATCAAATTGACCAAAACAAAGTTTAAAAATGATGTTAAAACACAAAAGTAAATTAATTTGGTTGTCTACAAAGATGCTACGACTATTTAACTTTTCGAATCGAGCCGAACTACGCGGGTCGCCATTTTGTTTTGCCCGGAAATTCTCGCGCTACTCCTCTCTCTCTTTCTCTCTCTCTCTCCACTGCCCACAGACAAAATTGTACGCTTTTAGTAGGCTACAGTTGTAATGGAACGTTTGTTCACGGCACAGAATTCTACAATTTTTCTGTTATCACAGTGTAGAATTCTGTGGTTTAGGGTGAACGCGCACCGGGTGAGAATAGCCACAAGACTCGCCTGCACTATTCTCACTCCGGGTGAGAATAGAGGTGGCCTATTATTATATTATTTCATATGTTTTCAGTCTTCAGACTTCAGACTTCATTTAGTCATTCATCATGACATTATTTAGATTCTAGATCTAGAGATATAGATCTAGATATAGATCTATATAATCTAGATTTTAGATCAGATTATAGATCTAGATTTCTAGGTCTACAGTCGAACCTGCTATGACGGCCACCCGACTATATGACGGCCACCTGTACAAACGGCCACTTTCCATTCCCCCCTTTGTGTTTTTTCTATCTAGATCTAGATCTAGATCTAGTTCTAGATAGAATCTACGGTAAATTTAAACTTTCACTCCCGCACACAGATGCACTGTTTCAGAGGTCAAACTGCTGTACTGTTTGCTGCAGATCACACATAAAGCCACTAAAACTGTCGCAAATCAATTATTTTCAAGACAATTTCAAATCTAACTGTAAAATATCAAATTATGGGTAAAAACAGGGGGGCATGTAACCCCCCAGATTTTCTTTCTCCCCAGTGGGGCAGGCCCCCCTGGAACCCCCTGATTGGTCAAAAGCATGTCTATCTCGGTTAAAAACAATCAAATATTTCAAAAACTATTAATTTGCGACGGAAATGAAGTTGATATTCTCGTGTTCAGCGTATCAATATTTAGTAGAAAATGAAAGTGGCTATTCTCACCCGCCCGGAAGTTCTCGCAACATCAACTCCTCCCTTCTTCTCTCTCTCTCTCTGTCTCTTTCTGAATACTGTCTATCGGTGTGGACGATCAAATTGACCAAAACAAAGTTAAAAAATGATGTTAAAACACAAAAGTAAATTAATTTGGTTGTCTACAAAGATGCTACGGCTATTTAACTTTTCGAATCGAGCCGAACTACGCGGGTCGCCATTTTGTTTTGCCCGGAAATTCTCGCTCTACTCCTCTCTCTCTTTCTCTCTCTCTCTCCACTGCCCACAGA